GGATAAAAAAAAAAAAAAAATAAGAAAACCTAGAAGGTAGATGGCCGGTAGACTAACGCAGGTGGGAGGTCTGACTTTTCGATCGCTCATGTCTCGGCAAGACGGTTCGGGACGGAAGGGAATGGAAAAAATATGCTCTCTCTTTTCCGACGGCGAGGCGGAAATTGAAGAAGTTACGCGCGAGAGACGGGTCCGCAAATTATTTATTACTCCATCGTTTCGCGCGAATTCGCGCGTATCGCGTCGCACGGATACACGAGATGCCGCCGTTCGCGTCGGTCGCTTCTGCAACGTAATTTTTCAAGACGCGGTCGATGATAAGGCGATCCGCGGTTCCGGTAGACAGTGTCGCAGGAATTTGTCTTTTCGCGAAGAAATTTCACTGTGGCGCGCGAGCTTCGGAATTTCGTAATAATAAAAAGCGATCGCGAGGCTGTCTTAAGATGGTTTCTCTTTACCTCTCTGTTTGCTCTTTGTCTCGTCTCTCTTTTTCTCTCTCGCATATAAACATTAAGATCGAAACATATCCAATACAAGTCCGTGTAAACTGATCTACTAAAGTTTTCAGATGACACACATATGTCACACGTAGTAAACTGATCTGGTTTTACAAAAATATTGTGTTATTGCAATAAGATCGTCTGGTAATCTCATTCTTATCGATTAATCCGTCAATTTTCTCGAGATGAAATATTTGCGTTTTTTCGTTTTACCTTATCGCGATACACAGTATCTATATCACGAGACACACACAGAGAGAGAGAGAGAGAAAGAGAGAGAGAGAGAGAGAGAGAGAGAGAGGCATCCAACTACGGGCGCATGAGTTTCTTTTAATTTTTTTTTTTTTTATCAGAACGTCGAAGCTGGAAGCAATACTGGCTCTCGTCTAAGGTTCAAAGCCTTGTCGTCGCCGGTGGTAAAGCCCTTTCTCGTGCAAGAATTCGAATCCTTCGTCAGAGACGGGGCCTCTTACCTTTGAGTAACCGCATACCGTCCGCAGGCAGTCCGCGCTACTAAAAGAACTTGGAGTGCGAGACACAGGCGCTGAAAATATGAATGAATTATTCACAGTAAAACTGCGCACGGTTATAAACAATTTCACATACTTGTAATAACGGTTCACCATGTTGGACTTTAGTTTTGAAAAAATAGAATTCATGCTTGAAAACAATATCATACTACAAATATTTTAAATTGCGTTGTTTAACTTTTAAAGAAATAACAGATAAGTTTTACGTAAGTAATTTCATTTCTTTGCTCTCATCGCATCATGTTCGTCATTTTTGACATCAGACTTTCGTGGAAAGAAATTCAATCACACGCATTTTATTGTATTTTATTGAATTTTTTAGTCTAAACCAGTCATTCGATTCTCTCTCTTTGCTTTTTTTCTTTCTCTGAAATATTTTCACGCGTTCGTCTTTTTGAAAGTAACACGACGTGGTCGTTCCTATTCTCTATCTCTCTCTCTCTCTCTGTCTCTCTTGTCTATCGTGCAGCCTGACGACTGCAAAAGCGACGTGGCGCACTCCAGGTGAGAACGTCAGTCGGGGAGAGGGAGAGGGGAGAGAGAAAAAGAAACATGCGAAGGGATGAGAATGAGGGGTGTCCGGTACCGGGTAGACGACATAACACGCGTGACTCGTCCGGAATCACGCAGCACGCGCAGGTACGCGCGGCTCGCGGTTAAATGAAATTTTAATAAAGCCGCGCGTTGAAAAGCCGCGCGAAGGGAACATCGGTCCTCACAATGGAACAATGGCTTCGAAATCGTGCGAGAGAGCGTGCGGCGCGCTTCTTCCGAAGAGGCAGACGCGCCGCGATAATTATATCGAGGCGGCGGCACGGAGAATCCCGGACAGAAAAACTTGTCCTCCTGCATCCTTAAAAGTCGCGGAGTGAAGTAGTATCCAAAACGCGCTGCTCGCAATCGAACCTAACTAAAAGCGAATTTACACGGTTCGCTCCCGATGATTACCCCCGATGAATCATCCAAAATAAATTAGATGAACGCGTTTTTGTTCGGACGTATCGCGCCAAAAGTGGGCTACCCTGAATCGTTCTCGATCCTTCGCGGGATTCTCCGCTAGTTTTTGAGAAGACCAACGACACCGCAAGAAAAACTTGCGACGAGAAGTTGCAATCTGCAATTTGTGAGATATGATGCTATTGAATTATGTGTCATCTTTTAAGTAGATACATATATATATATATATATATATATACGATGTATATACGTGTACTTCGGCGTGTGTACAAGCGTTTATACGCACCTGAGAGCTTGTCACCTACAAACTCTCTCGGTGTTTTCAACTGTAAACTGTCGGTTGGAAATTCTCAGCTTTGAGTTCTCAATTTCCAACTTTCGACTCCCATTTCACGTTTCATAACTCGCAATTTCTACCTTCAAACGCGCGAGACAACTTGCAAGCGCGCGTGATTAGTCTGAATAGCAATGAAGAAGTAGCGCGAGATCAAGTAGCTTTCTAACAGTCTTCTCGATTACTAATATGTTTTTTTCTTTCACATTTTATCTCGAACGTCTTTTTTCGAAAGTAAACAAAAGTATAAGGATTTTTTGTCTTCTTTTTTTTTTATGGAAGCGACGACAGAAACCGATATTTTTTGTACAAAAATAATACGCGATTTATTCCGCGTTTGTTTTTTTCTTTTTTTTGACTGATCTTTTCCAGACGATATATCCGGGATGGAGGCTACCGTATAAATTTGCCATACCTTCTGCCTAGAGGTCTCCGCCTCTCTTGCGACAAGCAGTCGTCTCGGTTCGACGATAGTCTTCGCGAACGAGAAACTCGATCGGCGAGGGAAAAGAGCGAAACAGGCGCTACGCCGCCAGTTTTTGCCGGTCGTTTCTTTGTAAGACGATAGAATGGCATTCTAAATATCGGCATCGCGCAAGAAACGAGGCGCGCGCACGATAAAAAAGTCCGATGGTATTCGGAGCAAAGTGACTGAGCGTTGGGTAATTAGCAAAAATCTAAAGTCACCGCTACGATTATTCAGCACATCTCTCACGTTGTCGTCGTCTTCTTTCAATATATTAAGAGCATGGAACTAAAACGCGCGTGCAAGACGTAAATTGCATCTGCATGAAACAATTATGATGAAGTCGCGATTAAAAAATTTTTAAAAAATAAAAGAGCGTAGATATTTTATTCATCGAACGAAAAAAAAACATGACAGTTTAGCGTGTCTAATTGAACTTTAAAATAAAGCTGAAAACATGTGCAATTATTATCAAAAAATTTAAAAAACATAAAATAAAAAAAAAATATACCTAAAAACAACGTTTAATTACGTTCTCTCTATGGGGGAAAATTGATTACTTCATCAATTATTGCCACATCCCTTATTATTAACACATTGTTTGCCTAAGGCACTATATTTTAATTATATTAATTAGCCGATATTACATGACGTTTTCATGCGGTTTTCGTTATTCGAATTTATTATATCATGAAAATATTCAACCCCCGGCAAACACATCAATGTGTAACATATATCTTAGATACATAACATGACACACTGTTTAGCAGAAAGTGTACATATAGGTGACACGTACACTTTGATGAGTTTGTTGCAAAAATCCCTCTTGTTTGTTGTAAAAGTTGAAAATCGAGATAAGTTTACCTCTTTGTGTCACTAAATTAGCAAAATAAATAACGAGCACAGTTTTTCATTGCCAATAGTAAGATTCCGTTCGTGTGAAAGAAAAAGCAAGAAAAAGCGAAGTAGAGAAAATTGTTGGCACTGAAATTCTGGTGGCGATGATATTAATTTGGCATATAAATTAGCAAGAACAACTTGGCGATTTAAATGCCAAGTTAACGCTTAACCGAGTTGGCCAAGCCTACGGTGTTTAATCTTAGCGGGGTGAAAGAAAAGTAGAGAGCGCGCGAATTAGCGAGAAAGGAGAAAAAAACCGCGGATGTGGCCGCGCGTCGCTCCGGCGCGGCAGGTCGTCGACTAATAATTCACGCGAGCAGATCTCGCGAAAAGCATTTCTTGACGTACATCTAACCTAACTGTAAATGCGAGCAGTCACGCACGAGAAAACGGCTCGCCGGTCTCACGGATCGTCGACACGAGGATCGATTATTATTACGCGAGAGGTGTATCCAATTTCGCGTCATTCGCGCGAGTTAAACAGAATGAGATGGCCGTTAAAGCCGGCCCGGGCGCGGATCCTATCGGGCAAAATTACAGCGCGCGGTCTATTCATTTATGTACGTACGAAGTCGACGACCAATCAGTCGTTAACTGCTAACGGTAACGAGCCGGTGCACCGCGGCGGATAAATTTAAAACAACCGGGACAAGTTAATAACACCGGCGACGGCAGCGGTGACGCGTTTCCGCCGGATGCTCGATAAACGCTTCGTTCGGCGTACCAAATAGTTAGAGCCGATCTTTCTTATTCCCATTCGCGCGCGCGCACATATATATTTCGCATTAGAAAATAATTCGCTATAAAAACACTGATAAATCGTATTATTGTGATTTGTTATAAATAACGTGCAATATCTTGATACAATAATAGGACACATCCGACATCCGATTATTATTAGAATTTTCGAGAAATATTCGTTGAAATGTGTCATGCAATATTAATCCATTCGTTATGTGAAGTTTCAATATTGAAACATTCGATAGTGTCGATATTATATCACCCAAGTAACAGCTCGGGAATTATTGGCAGAATGTTGTCGCATCGCCTCGTGTTATTTTTCTATTTGCGGTTGAGAAATTTATATTCAATAAGAAATAATGTGATTATATAGCGTGTATTTTTGAGGAAGATTTTTCTCTTCCAACACATTCTGGTTTTCTGTGTTTTCTGTGTGACGATCGATCCGGACTTTTCGGACGAAAATAGTGTGTTGCGAGTGCAAGCGACTCTGTAGAGCATCTCGACGGTGCATTATACTTTATGGCCGTGCTGGCGCGGATTTTAACGTTAAAGTCGTCGCTCGTTTTCAGGATCGGCACGTGAAGGGCGCCAGCAGAGTTCCGGAGATGGATTCGAGCCAGGACTACCGGCTGTTACTGGGTTACGAGAACAAGACGCACACAGTTCTACGTTTCAGCAGACGATACGACACATGTGACCCGCGGGACCTGAAGATCACGGTAGGTGACGCGATTTATGCAGCGCGAAAGGCGCAAGACAATTTCCTGCGGAATGCACACAAAGCGCGCGAGATTTACTCGGATCGCACACACGTCCCTTGCGCCCCGTATTATTTTTGCTGGGGAATAAAGCGCGCTCTTCCAAGAAAGATTAATACGGGATTTATACAACATTGTTTTTTGTCACAGCAAATAGACTCTTATCAGAATATGAACGTTTGTATATTTATCTTTAGATGACAGTATACGCAGACGCGCGCAGAAAATACGTCGAATGTTTGGAATAGTCAAATTTTATTCCGTCGCTTCTGTTTCTGTAAAATACTGAATACTCTTCGTCGCGTTTACCGAAGCTTCGTAATTTTCTTCTCGTATGCATTTGGTCAACAAAAAACAACTAACTCGTTAAACACATAAAAAAGTTTGTCAACGTTCTAATTTAGAAAAAAATGTAGACACACATATTACATAAAGATGCAGTTAATTAAACAGACATTAATTTTAATCATCGCGGCTGTATAAAAAATATTGCGAACGTTCGCCACCTGGGATTGGACTCGAATTAAATTCGACGCGGCTCGTTATCGCAATTTTCCAGCGCGGTATTCCGTACTTATTGTAGGACAAGTCGACCTACTTCTTTATTTCGCCGGTAATTAACTCGGAAATAGATTGCGCGATAGAGCCGTCCCCGCTGCTCAACGGTGCTCGGCACGGGCTTAACCCGAAGAAAAGAGATTACGCCGGCGTTGCGATCCGCTTTAAGCCGCGCAACATGAAATTTATGGTAACCGACGAGGCCGCGACGATCTAAATTCTAAACCTTCGCTACCGTTCCGACGACCCGGGTCGCTTTGCTCGCGCTAATAGCCGCCATCGATACGCAGTTATGTTCTTCGGTAATCCGTGCACACAAACCGGCACACAAAATAAAGCTTCTCCCACCCGTTTCCGAGGTTCTGCTTCGCGAGCGCGCGCTCGGGAAAGAAGAACTAGTTCAGCGCGAAAGTTGAGACTTGGCATTTTTCGCTTTGTCCGCATTTAAACTCGCCGAGCGCGCAAGATACGTTTCCCGTGCAGAATATAAAGAGAAGCAATAACGTGGTATTTGCGGCTTGCGCTTGTGGTTAAAGATAGAAATGCACGGGATCTGGTAAAAAATTGCACATCTTTTACCTTTGGAGCTTGTAATCGCGCTTCTTTAACCCTTAAGTAGCGGTAAGAGCGACGGGTTTCTGAGAGAAGAAACATTTTATTGTCGCGCGCGATTCTCTCGCTCGGTGCGCGTTATACCGCAGCGTCTGTGAGCTTCGCGAATTCACGCAAATTCGCATTTTAGCGCTCAATGTGCCAAAGACGCGAGAATAGAAATATTGATTCTCTAACATATTTCGTTTTGTTGTTTTTTTTTCCGTGATAATAAAAATATCAAGCGACATTTTAGTGTTTACAATTAAGAAAAAAAAATCTTTTAATAGAGTGGATGGTGTTTATTCATTGTTTTTAATGATAATAAAGGTCTTACATTTTTTCTTTTTTTTTTTTCACTATCTCTATAAAAATAAAAGCTGTCGAATAAACACCAACACACAGATGCATATTTAACTTCTCGCTAGAAAATGTTTTGCGAGGATATCGCTCGATTCGCAAAAACAACACCGTAGTTGTTTTTCTTCTGATTGGTACTTTTCCCTCGCATGCTTATTAGAGACCCTATTATCGTCACTTATTTATCGCACTCACGAAATCTCGCGCGCGTTATCGACCATCAAGCGCTTAACACACAATCGTCGGGGCTCGATTTTCCACTTGATCATATTATTATCGCGCATCAATTTCGGGCGGGCTCGTCGCGATGCGATCTCATCGTCTGCCCGCGCGTGCATAATTCGCTGCAGCCAACGTCGCTATCAGAGGCTGGCCGCTCGATGCCACGTGGATAAACGGCGCATACGTGTTCGTAAATATTCGCTCGCGGTAAATCGAATTCTCTCGGGTTGCGTAACGTCGAATTAAGTGATATTTTCGATTAACGGGTTGCTTTTTTTCATTTAACCACGAAAAAGCATCCTTCCCTTTTCAATACATCGTTTACCAGATTATTTTTCTCTCACAGTTTGCGCTCTATAGCGAGAACCATTTATTTCCATATTATGCCGCAAAATAAGGGAAAATATACCAAATCCCAATTTGCGGAGTGTATGTTTTTTAACCATATCGTAACATCGTTATTACACCGAAAGCAAATTATCTAGTGTAAGCTATTATAAATTCAAAACTTGTTTAAAAAAAAAAACAAAACAGAAATTACTGCTTCTTGATTTATATAATAACCTTAGACAAATTTGTTATTAATTTCTGAGACATGATTATTTTTCAACTATACGAAGCAAACTTGTTGACTTATCGCATTGTCCGAACTGTTGGCCTGCGCCGAAACTGCATACTCCATCTACATACTTGTGCAGCGACATACGAGAAATTCCTCGCGAACCATTCGAGTGTCGCTCTTCCTGCAGAGAAACATAGAACGCGGCGGTTGAGGACGACGACAAAGCCGTTCCCCCCGTTCCCCTTTCTCCTTACGGACAAGAGCACGTCCGTGTCCAGCGGTTGAGTCATCAAAATACTTGGCCGCGAAAGTAAAACCGGACCGCGCGATTCCATCGCGACGGGAGAAACGACCGAGTCAGCGGGGCAGCCTCCTCTCGGCCTTTATCTGATCGCGCAGCCGCGCCGTATCGATATCCGATATAATATTTTTACGCGGCTTCGTATCCGTTGTACATCTCGCCGAAAACGAGCACAAACGTGGCTCACACACAGCGCGGGTTTCAAAAGAACAAAAGTGGAGGAGAGAGATGCGAGAGACGAAGACGCGCAGTTCTCGCAACCTACCTCCGGGATCTCAAACCGGGGAGTGAGTGCGATCTCACGCAAAATGTAACGCGATACGAGTTATTTAGAACGTAGGTACAGTTTCGAATATATGTTAGCCAACGCGCTGAAATCGATACAAATTTGCGAACACATCTCATTAAACATCGCAATACTTGAAAACCTGAGGCTCGCCGAAAGCTTCGCTTGTATCGCGTTACAATTCGTATATCGCAGTCTGGGAATTATGCGAAAATAGCGTGTAACGTTTGCGAGAGTATTTTCGAACTCTTCAATTAGGATACACGATATTTTTTTGCCATCACGTGTATTTTTCCGCGATCTTCGCGTACGACACGACGTGTAATAGCGAGCGCGAAGATGAATGCTTATTTTTTCGACGCGATATGTACGACGATATGTGTGTGTATATGTTTGTTTCAGAAATATACGCCGGCGTGGGTAATGTGCGCGATGTTATCGAAGATCTACCCGTTCCGTTTGCGTCATCGATAGAAATCAAATATTGAGATCGCTTCAGAGAGTTATTACTTCTCGAGCTTCTCGTCTCTCTCTCTCTCTCTCTCTGCTCATACTTTATCACGGCGCTTATCTCGAGTTTCTCGTCTCGAATTTAGGAGTTGGAGAGATTTCCGCGGGATTGTACGTGGGTCGGCAATTTTTCCGGATTTCCAATTGCTCTCTCGCTCTCTCTCTCTCTCTCTCTTTCTCTCTTCCAAGTGTCACGGAGAAACTTCCTACGGCGTTCGTTTATCACTTTTAACCGTGATCGTGGCGCTTAACCGGGGAGAAAAGGGTTTTTGCGACGTAATACGCCGTTATCGATCGAGGATTATCGTTATCGGAAGGACAAGTCGTCGAAAAATTGAAGATAAGTATATCGAAGGGGATCGCGAACACAGCGATCGTGATTTATGGAGTTTTCGTATTTCGTCTGATATTTGTAGTTGTTAATTCTTTGCGCTTTTCCTTGTTGCATTGGTAGTTTCAATAATGTAGTAATTACATGTACATGTATTCTCTCTCTCTCTCTCTCTCTCTCTCTTTCTCTCTCTCTCTCTCTCTCTCTCTCTCTTTCTCTCTCTCTCTCTCTCTCATTATATAGTCTTTAATATTCTGAAAGCGTCTTAAAGCAACGCAACGTCGTTTCTATGTGTTGCGGAAGACATTACATGACACTACTTAGGTAATAAGAACAATACCATTGTACAAGTTGTACATTTGTGAAGTAACGGTCTCATAAGGGGTTAACTCTCGTCGTCGGTGCGCTCATAACCCAATTTTCGCGCGCGCGTCTTACCGTAAGGACAGACACACATACACACACACACAGCAACACGCAATCCGCGACAGAAATTTCCCGCGAAAGTTCTTCCCGATGAGAAGGTCCGTGAATTTTTTTAATTTGTTTCGTGACGCTCTCTCGTTCTTTTTTTTTTTGTTTCCTTTTGCAAAATTTCCACACGATGGAGAACGCGGGACAGAGAAAATACACACAGCGCGAATCGCGGAAAAAAATCTATTGTTTCTGGTGAAAAAGCGTATCTCGGGACGAATCCATTTCCTGATGTAATCGCGACGGAAAAATATTTGCTTGACAGGGTCGTCCGTAACACAAATATATATATATATATATGTATTTATTTTTTTTTATTTCAGTTACGTTCACAAATGAATTTATCTCCGGATGTCAACGTATCTCTGTGCACGCGAGAGCACCAGGTTTTATATATATATATATACATTTTTGTTTTTTGTTTTCGGTGAACGAGTTTGGGAGCGCGGTCGCGCTTGAGAATGAATTAATTAGAGATATGAACGAACGTTCACGTAGTGGAAACAACGTCACAAGTTGGTAGTAATCGGGGAAAGGGTTTTACAATGGACCGAGCTGGCGTTGAATTGTAGCGTTTGAGACCTCGGTATCCAGTGACAGACTGACATACTGACACAAACATGACGCTATCTGTACACTACAGAATTGACAGGATACATGAATTACCTACACGGGATATCTTCACATCACATGTCGATTCACGAGAGCTGATCAATTTGTAGGTGACAACAAAACTGTGCTCGCACACTTTTCTCAAAGTTTTTGC